CCCCCCCCCCCCCCCCCTCTCCCCCTATTCCACGCAAAATGAGACAATTAAACTTTTATCATTCCCTTTGTTTCAGAAACGACAGTGGAAACATCACGGTAGAGATTGAGATAATATTTGGCCAGGATGTGAGCATGTCTGCCTTTATTCGGTTGCATGAGGCTATGTACAGTGATGGAACTCTGGGAAACATAACAATTTATCCCATCTCAGATAATAGTAAGCGTTTGATATTACTACTATTATATCGTTTGGTGTCAAAATTTTACGAGGAGGAAGTCTATCAGATATTGATGTTACAGGCAGACAGTACAACGAGAGAAGGCAGAATGGCTTCTAGTTTAACATTAGTCGATTTAAGCTTTGAACATAATTTGAGACAATCACTTGTTAATTTCGTTCCTACGCAGTTCCTGGAAAGCCACCCTCAGACTTGTCAGTTGACGTTATCAGTCCAACAATTGTTTTGGTTCGCTGGAATAATTCGTCACCGACATATTACGAATCGTCATTATCAACTACAGCCGTGCGTATTTTTTATAAACTACAAGCGAACTGGACGGATATGAATGTTAGAGATGCAAATTTTACTACAGGATATTTCGTGTTGGATAATCAAGAAACATTCTCATGGTACAATCTCTACGTAAGAGCTGTTACCTTTAGGGGACTCGGGGTGAAAAGTGAGCTTTTTGTTGTGAGAACTTTGGAGGAAGGTGAGTGACATAACGTTTGATTTGGTTAATAAATTTGGCGTTTGCAGAGTAGCATTTCAGTTACGCACGTCTTTTTAATGCATATTTTCTTTAATTTATATTACACCATTTTCAGTTGTACCTGTTGACGCTACACTTTTATTACTTGATGAACAATGGACAGACGACCTTGAAAATACAACTTCTAATACCTTCCTTATTCTGTCTGGAAAGTTAAAGAGTAAAGTAAGTATTTAGTATTAACTCAATGATTTTTCAATCACAAAACAGCGTTGTATTAGGATATCAGCAAGTCACAAGCGTGAGACAATCAAAAACTCTGAGTCCCCGACAGGATTCGAACCTATGACCTCTCAAACACTGGGTGGACGCTCCATCCACTTGAGCTACGGAGAACTCTTGGAGAGCAAAGCCATATAGTAGGTTGATACAGAAACTCGTAACGGATTGAAACATGTAACTCTTAGTGTTTGCTTTGTCCGATGCTCGTGATTATTCGTTTTCGAAAGTACCATATTTGGAACGAGAAGAAAAGATAACCGACCACTCAAATTTCTTACACGACGTGACGTAATTTTACTTCACGTTCCCGAGCCCGTTTAAAAAAATAGCCCGCAAACTGGGGTAAAACTCCCAAAAGCTGAGTAAACTTTGAATGTTGAAATCAGGAAGATTACCGAAACACCGAGCAGGAAATTGGCTTCCCCCCCAGACCAAACGCAACATTATGAACCCAACTAACGAGCGCGACTTCTTGAAGTTGTCACTTCAAAGAAAGATTCATACCTCGGTGACCCTGCGCAGTAAACTTAATACTGCAAATAGGCTTTTAAAATTCTCATATTAAAAGTCTAGAATAAGCAGTAAAACACATGTTGGAATAAAATTCATTAGCTGCGTATCGAAAAGTGTCCAAAAACTGAACCTGAAACTGAAAAATTGTGTAAAATTGGTCGACATCTTATCTTCGCAAAAATGATGCGTGTAATGTAAGAAGCTTGATGCTGTAGTATCACAAACGTGTTTTGAGCTAATTTTAAGCAGGAACAGACTAAAAACAATAGACGGAGAAGCCGTTTCTTAAAAATTTTTATTCAAAATCCGAAAAGTTAATCCTCTGGAGCAATTCGCGTAACACTATCTGGATCGTGGATCCGTTCACGCAAGTAAAATCGGCTGATGAGCACATGGTAAAATTCAAATCGGAGCGCATTTTGTAATCTTTCTTTAGCGCCGAAGAAAAAAAAATGTTTTAAATGTCCATGAAACTATATACATACATAAATTCCCTTTCGAAAACGTAATTTTCTTGGCCATAGGGTGGAAAATGTACCTGAAAATCAGGGAATTCAGCAAAAACTTCGCTGCCTTGGTTGCACGTAAAACAGACCATGTGCTCCGCCGTGAAGAAAACAAGGTTCTTTCATTCTTTCACCACAGAGTTAATGCTTTAACAGAGTTAACCGCTCTGACCAGCATTATTTTTCCTAGGTGGTAGAGCTATACATAAACAATACTCATCTACGCAAAGTTATCGTCCATCAGTTCAGGTAAAACTTCTGTATAATTAAACAAGTTCATAAAATATTTGCGTCACAGGTCGTTCGTTCATAACTTTGAACTGTTTCTAAATTTTCCAAACACTGAGTCTGATATTGGATACAAAGCCGTGAATGCTTACATATTTTTACGGAAGGAGCACCTGGCTAGCCAAGCCCAAGAATACGCTATAACAGCGTCTAATTTATTGTATGTGACAAGTGGAAATTCTGAAACCCCGGGTGTATGGTCATTAATTCCAGGAATTACACTGGCAAAGTGATTGCAGACATGAAAGTTATTTTTGGACAACAAGTGGAGATGAAACAGTTCGAAAGTCTGTATCAGGCCTTGTACAGGAATGGACTTGGGAACTTATCTGTGGAGGCAATATGGGATAATAGTAAGTCTTCCGCTCAGTGATAAAATTTTGAAACTATGTCATCACACAAACAAATCTGCCCCATCGTTTACTGTGAATATTTCACAACTCATATCATTATAGTTGGTTAACATTAGGAACGGACCATTAGAAAATTTATGGGGGGGGAGAATTTTCGATCCGCAGGAATTTTTTTTTTCGTTATCGATTTCCTTGTATGAATGTTTTTAGGCCTTCGCCTGAATATTTTTTAGGATTAATTGGCGTGCATGTTTTTTTTTCCATTTAATTTTCCCTTGCGCGAATATTTTTTTTGTACTTAGCCCGCCCGACCCCCTCCCCATAAGTTTTCTAATGGTCCATCCCTTAATGGGAGACATCAAAGCAGCTGTTAATATGTAACCTTTAAAAAATGTCTATGACAATACCACAAAAATTTTTAAAACGTCTAGAGTAGCATTACTCACTTACATGGATTAACAAATTTTGACCCTTATAGGGATTCAGATTCTCTGGTGTTAAGTTCCACTATGTAATAACCAATTTATCATATCATAATTAACCCCAAGTTGATAATTATCGGTAACATCACTGTTTGTTTCATTGCATTGTTCAGTTCCCGGAAAACCTCCCACCAACATATCAGCATACGCCACAAGTACAACGAGTTTGCGAGTGCAGTGGAACGCTTTGACAAATGATTACTCTGATGTTACACATCTCAAGATTTTATTCACCTCAGTAAACCAGGAAAATGAAACTATTTGGACTACTGACGTTAACGCATCAAAAAATAGTGTAAATATTGGAAACCTGGGAAAGTTCGTTAATTATACAGTCTGGATAAAGAGTTTTTCTAAAAGAGGTCTTGGCTTTGCTGGCTTTCCTATCAATGTCAGGACGCTGGAGGAAGGTAAATCAGGGACTTAAGATTGGTTGTTAAGTTCGATTGCTTCAGTATATCAAGTGATACTTTGGTTTATAGCCTTTACGTACTTACAAGCGTCTTCCTTATTTTTCTGATATAAAGTCGGAAAACTGTTAGCTTCCCACGCAGACGTTCTTTTGGCTCGTCACGACATCCTCCCCAAAGGAACGTTAGTGGGGAAGGAACGCGTGACGATGTCAAAGATATCTACGCTGGAAAACGGTGTGGTTGAAGGGTCTTTAAAGAGTTTTATATTTGATACTGAAAATTAAAAAAATTCTTTCTTTCTTTCTCTGTTTCGCTTTTTTCCGTTTTTTTTTTTTTACATGACCTCAACGTAGATTTTTAAACTTTCTTCTTTTCATTTTACCTATGACTAGTTGTACCAGTCGACATAACATTTCGTCTAAGAAACATGAAATGGAATGGTAATCTTTCCGATGCAGCCAGCAGAAACTTCAAAAACTTAACAAGCACGATTCAACAGAACGTAAGGTTTATTATATGCTAAAATAGTTACGTCATCTTATTAACACTAAGCTGGTTTTACTCTCCTTTAGTCAAAGAGTAGGGCCTTTTATATCTACCCCTGAGAAAGAGGTATAAAATGCATTTAGTGACGGAGAAGCATTCTTAAAAAAGTGCAGGCTCGCCAGTGTCCATTGAGGGACGAACGCGTTGAGAAAATACCATCCTACCATCCATGCAAAAAAACACCGATTTGGGGATGGGGGATTTACGACGTTTCAACAGAATTATATGATAAATGAATGAAATCGTTACTAAAAGAAATGTGCCAACTACTTTTGTCATTGATTTTGGCTTTCAATTCCTTCTTTTCCGTGTAGGTGCTTATGTTGTATGAACAGGAATCAAACTACATTCGCTACGTTCAGTGTCGTCGGTTTAGGTAAAGTAGTGCAAACGTCCGCGATTTCTTTCCATTAGACATGGACGTGTTTTAAAACAAATGGTACTCTTTCATGCCTAACGGTTACCATTTCATCACCACATCATTTCGTTTTTTTGTTATTATTCTGCGTTTTGTTTTGTTTTTTGTTTTGTTTTTTTTTCATTCGCAGGGAAAAGGATGAAGCTGACCTATTGAGTTAATTGAAAAGAAATTTCTTTTTTCCGTCTGAAACGAAAAACTTTATTTGCATTGCTTTAGAGGCATGAACACTTGGTGTTATCAAGGAAAACTTTATCAATTTTTTAGATATTTTGCTTAAAAAACAACTGCAATTGTAAGAAAAGTCTTTGCCTTCACACTAGCGTCTGTATTATTATCAAATACGAGTTTTACACCCCGGAGTTGTCAAACGACATTAAATGTTTCGGGATATGCTTCTTCCTCATGAACCTTTAAATACAGTGCAGCCAATAAACGATAACGGTACGGGGTGTTTTAATTTTATGATATATACTGCATTATACATCCCACCCTTAATAGTCTGTCCACCTCTAATCATCATCGGAATGACAAAAACAGCACTAGCAACTGATAACTTTAAAGTAGCCAGGTGTGATTTTTTGCTAGCTATGAAATAGTTAAACTTCTAACGTAAGGAAAGAACATTACCCAAACCAAAAAAGTGACCAGTTTTAACTCTAAGGTATTTTCAAAATAAGCGCTTAATACCACAGACGACATAAGTTATGCAGCTTCCATGCGAAGCCGTCGTTGGCTTTGACTTGCACCATTGGAACGCACAAAACCTACTAAATTACGTTTATAGAGAATTTAAAATATGCGGGACAAAATCGTTGACATGTAGAAATTAACATCGGTGGATATATATATATATATGGATACAAACTTATCTTCTTCCGTTTGCAGTCCCCGGAAAACCACCAGCGAACATCAGCGCTGATTCAGTATCATCCACGACTACCCAGGTCACGTGGTTATGTATTGACTGTCACCAGCACAACTTAACTGTTGGATTTCTTGTTTCCTATAAGCTGGATGGTAGCAACCAAACTACAGCTGTTGTTGTGAATAGAACAGTCAGACAATTACATATCATTGGCCTTAGAAAGTTCACAAAGTACACTGTTTATGTGTCTAGTGTGACAGAAAGAGGAATTAGTATGTCAAGCGAGGAGGTGTCGACGCGAACATTGGAGGATGGTATGAATGTTCAACATGATATTCAAATTAAGCTTTCGGTTACATAGATGAAATTGACAACAGTTATGCACCAGTGATAACATTGTCGTCTTGTTGTGCTCTTTACAGAACTAAAACTATTCAAACGGGCAACAAAAAACGTGCAACTTGTTTTGCAATATTGCTGCAAAATGCGGGTTGAATAGTTATGTCGTGCGTTTTACCACCCACTTTCGAACCTGTCTTGCAACAAATAAAATTGCAGGGTTTTTTCGTTGGTGGTAAAACGCGCAACATCACTACTCAACCCGTCTTGCAGCAATATTGCAAAACAAGTTGCACGTTTTTTGTTCCTTTTTTACCGTACCTTGGGAGATATAACTAAGGGAGAGAATTGTTCTTTGTTATTTCAACTTCCACTGTTCTTTGTGCTTATCAGTGCTCTTATGCTTCTATCGCACGTTTGAGCTCACCCTTAGCCTTTTTAACCTAAAAAAAATTATTTTCTAAATCGACTCTAAATTGCAAATGATTAATAATAAGAAGATACAGAGATTTGAATTGAAAAAATTTGCACAAATTTAAATTTTAGTTCCCAGTGCCATTCCATTAAACCTGAACGCGCACAATATGAGCTCCACGAGCCTCTGGGTAGCCTGGACACCACTTCCCAGTGATCAGGTGAACGGCATTCTATTGGGTTACAACGTTACATACAAGAAGGCTGGTGAGACTAGTGCCAGTGAGCAATATATCAACACGACTTTGAACTTCACGGTACTCAGTGGACTTGAGAAGTTTACAGTTTATGAGGTTACGGTTTCAGCTTTCACAAAGGTGGGACGTGGCCCAGCAGGGAATATAAATGCTTCCACTGATCAAGATGGTAAGAGTCAGACTAACCATGATATTTAAATTATCTAATTAATTAATTTTCCTTTCCACTCATGGGGCTTTTCAGGATAATGACACAAATATATCATCTCAAGAGAGGATAAAGGGTAGCCCCTTTATCCTCTCTTGATCATATGTAACATAACAAATTAAAATCCAAACTGGTAGGAGGCGAACCAGTTGTCTATTTTACAAGCGTGGTCGAGCTGGCGGTTATAAGGGCGGGACTTGAACTCGGGGCCTCAACGAGTGGACTGATATATGAGTTACTGAAATCGGTCTCCGAAGGTCAAGTTAGTTTTAAGTTTAGACACGGGCTGTAGCAATACCATGTCAACAGGAAATTGTGAAATTTGCATTTTCGTTGACTAAGAAACATCATTTTCCTCGTAGTTCAGATCAGATGTCTTTAAGCGGCCATGTGTCTGTTTAATTTCGTTAATTTATAGAAGGTTTTACGGTACAGCTTAAAATTGTTAACATTTAAAATGACTGAATGTTATCATTCAGCAAACTAGACAATTAGGTAGTTCAAAAATAATTTTTAATTGTTAAGTCTTTTAATATCGTTTCTTGCGACAACGAATACGACCCGCAGTGGTACCCCAACGGCTGATCAACCAATCACGATTTCTGGTTCTTACTTAATTTGTATCGCGTTTATTGGTTTCGCATTATTAAAATATCGTTTAATATCAGTTTTTGTCTTGACTGTAGTGCCAAGTCTTCCTCCGACGGATATCCGAGCATACAACACAAGCTCGACAAGTTTGACGGTGACGTGGAATCCCGTCCCGCAGGGGTATACCCACGGGATTGTCCTGGGGTATTTGGTTTTCTACAAAAGACAGCAAGATGTTGACGGGAATTTCATTAATGCATCAAGCCTTGTGCTCTCTGCGGATCTTGAAGGTCTCGACAAATTTACAGTGTATGTTGTAAAAGTGTTGGCGTTCACCATAAAAGGAAATGGTGTGATTTCAAATGAAACCAGTGTGAGGACACACGAAGACGGTGGGTAAAATATAATTATTGTAAGCAAATAAAAGTATTGTGGGAACCTTAGTAAAATGGGTTCGGTTCGGAATTGTTTTGCTCATTTTTGGCTTTTGAGACACTATATAGCAAAGCTCATAATTAACTCATCAGGCGACCCAGTCACCACTAGTTAAAGGCATACTTCATGAATCTGCCCGGAAACATACGAAATGAAACGTCGTTTATGCCTTAAAGATATACAGAGTGTAGGTAGTTACTATTTTTGTAAGTTCCTCACCTAACTGCGTGGAAGGCACCTCAAAAGAAAACCATTTCCCTTTACAAGAATGTTTGGGTGTTACTTGAGCTTTAGTTTGTTTTTTAACACATCTTTATTTTCATTTTAGTTCCAAGTCTCCCACCGTCAAACCTCAGGGCACACAATACCAGTTCAACCACTCTACGGGTCACGTGGCTGCCTGTACCTCAAGAGTTTCTCCATGGAATTCTCGTCGGATACCGTCTCTTTTTTAAGGCAGACAAAAACCTGTTTTATGAAAACGTGACAACAGTCAATCAAACTCTGGAACTGACAGGACTGGAAAAGTTTACAAATTATTCTATGAAGATTTTGGCGTTCACTCTCATTGGAGATGGAAATATATCACATTCAGTGACTGTGTCGACTGATCAGGATGGTTCGTGAAAAGCTTTTTTTCCTAATTCGTTTAATTTAACAGATTAGCTGACAAGCACAGCGGTTTCTTCTCGCGGCTCCACCTGTCGGTATCGCCTTCTCCGAGAATTTTCCTTCATAATGCGCCATGGAAATTCGCAAACAATTTATCGGGACACTAAGTTTTGGTCCGTTTATGTACTGAAGTTACGTGAACTTTTGTATTGATGAAAGAAACCGTCCTGGAATCGGGTAAAGAGGCCTTAAAACCAATGGGAGCTGAGGGACTGAAAAAGAAACAGTTTATTGTTTGTAGAACTAATTCCAAGGTCAATAGCTAGGGACACTGAACGATTCAAAATGAATAACTCATGTACAGAATCTCTTGTTGTATTTAGGTCACTGAGAGAAGTTCCATTTCTTTTCTTTCTGAATACTTACCTGAGATGTGTACAAGTTAATCAATATTTTTATTTACAGTTCCCAGCCTCCCACCAACGAATGTGAGCGCACATAACACAAGTTCCACCAGTCTTCATGTAAGCTGGCATGAAGTGCCCAAAGGCTTTGTTCACGGCATCCTGCTTGGTTATCGCGTTCTTTACAAAATAGCAAATGTAACTGGAAAAAAAAGTATTACTACAACATCAGAAACAACTAATAAAAGAGAGTTGCAAGAACTAAAGAAATTCACCATTTATGAGATCAATGTACTGGCGTTTACAGCCATTGGGGATGGAGCAAATTCCAAGAGCATACATGTCTCGACTGATGAGGACGGTAAGAGGTTAATTTGATTACTTTGATGGCGATGATGATGACGACGATGATGATGATGATGATGTTGATGATGATGATGATGATTATTATTATTATTATGATATGGGAATCTTTATAACGATTCTTCGGAGTGATTAAGGTACTGTAAATGGAAGCAGGGTTCGCTGACAGTACTCACTATCTTTTCATGCCCGTGTAGATTGATATAAACACTTGCACGTGATCTCTCTGAGATCTCTCTGAGAGGTAAACAATTCCATTGCAAACAATTAACATCAAATTGTTTCATTATAGCGGAAAACTTGCTAATTCATTAACGATAAAAGCGTGGTGTATTTTGATTGCAACAACGGCCGGAGACATAATGCCCATAAGTAAACAACAGTGACGCGAATTTTAACACACATACATGTAAACAGCTTTTTGCCCCTTTAAAAACGCGTACCCTTGTTTTATACCTAAATTCTTTCTACCTCAAAAAACAAAGGATCCTTTACACCAAGACAACAAGCTGAATCTATACTTTCAATAAATTAATTGTAGTTCCCAGTCTACCTCCTGTTGACTTGTCTGCACATAATACCAGTTCTACGAGTATCCAAGTGGCCTGGGGCGAGGTACCTGAAGGATACGTTCATGGAATTCTACAAGGTTACCGCGTGTTTTACAGTGAGATGACCGCAAACAGAAACATCAGCTACGTGAACGTAACAACTGACCCAGAAAATCGCCAGCTTCAGGTCACAGGACTGAAAAAGTTCACCAAATATTCACTGAAGGTTTTAGCTTTCACAAGAAAAGGTGACGGAGCTGTTTCTACCGATATCTCGGTCGTCACAGACGAAGACGGTAACTATCACTCCATTGTAGTTAATAGAATGACGCCTCAGGGCAGCGCATTGAGGATTTACGGACGGGTGTGAATTGTTGAACACAACTATTATGATTTAATATTCAAGTTATAAACTCAAGGCATATGAAAATATATAGATTGTTATTTGTTTCCACAGGTAAAGTAATTTTAGGTATTAAAATAAACAGAACTATCTTAGAAGTAGATCAAGAATTTCTGGTGGTGAAAAGATGCAGTCCATGTCCATGCAGCCTGCGGAAAAAAAGCAAATCAAAATTGATACAATAAAGTTGCCATCGCCTTTTTTAGCATTCCTTATCTATGGCAGAATAAAAGAAATTTCCTTAAATGTATCCCTTTAATTTCTCTCTTTGTTGTGATTTTGCGTACTGTTTCCGTTTTTTAGTGGTTTTTTAAATCTCTTAGTTCCCAGTTTACCTCCCCAAAATGTCCAACCTTACAACACGAGCTCTACCAGTGTGAAAGTAACCTGGGAAGATGTCGCAACTGGTTTTATCCATGGAATTCTCAGAGGCTATCGAGTATTCTACAGCAGAACCAAAGACAATGGTCCCGCAGTAAGACAGGCTGTCATTCGTGCTGATAAGCACTATGTTCATCTGGAAGGACTGGATAAATTCACAAATTATACAATACAAGCGGCTGCTTTCACGAGGATTGGATATGGCGCCAAGTCAACAAAATTGATAGTCTCTACAGATGAGGATGGTATTAAGTTTCATTTATTACCTACTATGCTCAAGTAGTTTGAAAGATAAATTTATTGTAGCAAAATACAAAAGGCTTACAATAGCAGAGGAACGCTCAGCAAGTGAAACACTTTTATTTGTATTTAGGCAGGACTTTAGGGTGCTTATATTTAAACAATCAGTCAGCTTATTCTAAAAATAAAGTTAGAACAGGTTTTTAAAGACCCACGTCAACTATAACCACCTTTCCCACTTCTTTATTTGTTTTTTCGTGTGTTTTCGTTTATTGGGTTTTTTCCCTTTAAACAGTTCACTTGCAAACTATTTACATAAGGGTTTAAGACACGAAAAAAGTAATAAAAATCGTGAAACTATACAGCTATAAAGGTCGATACTGTTTGCTACTATGACACGAACAAGGTGAAAAGTAAAGAGGGGTCATATGATAAATTTAAATGCAGATCATGAAACTTTAAAAAGATTTACCTCACTCATGAGACCGAATGGGATTGGCTGACTTTCTTTCTGTCTCTATTTTGCTTGATTTTGTAGTTCCCAGTCTTCCTCCTCAAAACCTCTGGGGTAACAACATCAGTTCTACAGCATTAATAACCAAGTGGAATCCAGTTCCTCTGGGATTCGTACACGGCAGACTACGGGGTTATAGGGTGCTTTACAAGGAGAAAAACAACCCTTCTGCTCAATACACTATAATCACCGTCCCACCTGGTATAAGGATGCAAACAATCAGCAATCTTAAGAAGTTTACTTACTACACCATACGGGTACTTGCGTTTACTATAAAAGGTGATGGTGCTCTGTCACCACCGATGAACGTGACAACAGATGAAGATAGTAAGTATAAGAGTGACCTTACCGCGCAAAATCAGTCTCTTTTTTTGATTTAAGCAAATTTAAAATCCTCCATTAATAAGCCCTGGGGGCGGGAGGGGGCTTACATGTATATATTTAAACACATTTGACGGGAGCTTATTTGCGAGGGGGGCTTAATAGAGGATTTACGGAAAGAGCGTTGAGAGTAGAAGCTTTTATTTAAAGTCACCCAAGTTTTATGAGCAAATTTTAAATCACACAAACTGTATACGGGAATAGCAGGTGAAACCAATTCATGACCTGTCGTTACGAACGTGGGGCAAGCGAAGAAAGGATTTAACACAATTCAGTTTCCCTGAAGAGAATGAAACCCTCACATCAGAACTCCAAATGGACTATTCATCCACTTAAAATCTATAATGGAAAGACCTCAGAACCAAGGAAAGTAATGAAAAGGAATTCATCAACTAGGTTCAAATGGAACCGGGGGGCAGAGCCGGAAGTTTTTCTTCGTTACACGCTTGTTTCCTTTCCAAGAAGTTTAAAATTTACCAACTTAAATTAGACTTATCACTCGGAATGTTCATAAGAATTTCAGAAGGGAAACGTATCAAGGGTTTTGGTGCTGCTAAAACACGGATTGGATGATTGTTTTTCCAGTTCCGAGCGAGCAACCACAAAACGTTTACGCCAGAGACAAAGCTAGCGCTACAGAAATCTTTCTGTCATGGGCTCCACCCCCTCAAGACAAAATCCACGGTATTCTAAGAGGTTACTTCATTTGGTACAGCATCATAACACTTGGAATCGACAGAAGAGATCCAGTCTTTCCCCTAGACTATACCAAGAAACGATTATCAGCTGATTCAGTTAAAGACACACTGATTAATCTGCAAACATATGCACAATACATCATCAAAATAGCTGCCTTTACAAGTAAAGGGTATGGCCCTATTAAAGAGATCTCCACAAGTAAGTTTTACTTCGTAGTCAAGAGAAGGTTGATAATTTACGAAGAGAACAAATTTAAGTTTTAAATTGCTACCCTGTACGGCGCAAATATTTGCTAAGAATAGGGAAATGCATTAAATACGTTCCATCTGTTTTGAAGAACTTGGGTGTTGTCTTTGAACTAAAGTGACGTCCACATCAACATAGTCGCCCCTATCCAAGAGAGCCTCAATACAAAAATCCGCGAAATTTTTCTCTGAAAAACGGTGGATTTACAAGCATCTCTCCAGTCAGAAAGAATTAAGTTTCTCAACTGCTTATAAATTGGGTCAGTTCTTACTCAAAACAGACAGTTATGTTATTTAGGGATTAAAGAAACGTTATCTAAAAAAACGTTAAACGTCACGTTTTAAAAAAGTTAAACCAGGTACGTGGATGGTGCTGACAACACTAAACTTGATAAGCGTAACAGTGACAAAAATATCGCAGTTTATATTCTGTAAACGTCTTTTATTTTACTTTCAACAATTTGATACTATTTCTAAACATTTTTTCTGCACATAACGGCCAATGCCTTCTAAGTGCTTGTCCTTACCATATCTGTTTCCTCAGGGACTTGCAGATGTCGGTCTATGATACCAACTAACTGGTGGAATAATCCCCCGTATGTTACGACCCAAATCTCCAGCAACAGTAGCCGTGAAGGTGGCATCCTACCAGTTATACTAGAGAGTATTGTCACTTCCTGCTGTCAAGAGTGCGAGTTTGGCACGACAACGGTGGACTTCAAATTGGACGCAAATGGGTTAGATGCCCAAAAAGATGGCGTAATTCAGGTTAAAGACGCTATAAGTAGCAAGACTATGATCTCTTTTGGTATTACTGGTGTGATGCCCCAGGAAAAGTACTATGGCGCTGACGGAGAAGCAGAGTATGTTCCCATCATGGAGACACCTGGTGTCGCCTTCATTGTGGCGGAGAGAAGGTTAGATTAGCGCAGCTGATCTCTCTTAAACTACCGTAGATGGAGCGTATTATTAAGCAATAGACCACACTTTCTATGGGTTTACCGGCATGATAACCCACGCGGGATGTTTAGAGAACACGAGAAAAGAAGCTTTTCGAGTATTCTCCCAACATCCCAAGTGGGTTATCACGCCGGTAAACCCAGAAAGTGTGGTCTATTGCTTTTATAAAATATCTTTCAGTTTTCTAAGAGTTTATAACCAATCAGAACGCGCGTATCATCTTAGTTATTTTATAATAAACAATATCCTTTAATTAAAATATCTCGAGTGGAAAGCAAAAGCCAAAATCTATTGGAAACCAAAAGATCATATCACATTAAGGAATCTTGTTCCAAGTGACGTCGTCTCTCCTGTTGCCTGGTAGCGTCCCTTGTTACTTTTTGTTTTTTTTGGCTACACACGAGTAAAAAGGTATCAAGAAAAAAAAATCCATGCTGCTATACTTACCATGTCAGTCCCTCGCTTAACCAGGTACTTTGATTTAGGCGTAAATAACGGGATTCATAATTTTGTGAAGATCAAGGTGATATCCTTCCCACTCCCCCTAGTCAAAGTTGCAAGCTTTGTAAGGCCTTGGTCAAAACTGCCTTTAGGATGGAGGGTAGTCAGAGATTTAGAGTTACCAATGAATTACTAGCAGCGATTTTAAGTAAGAGAGGGTGCGGTGGTTTTCCGTTCGAGTGTCTCAATATTATTGTAGCATATAACCTTGCTAATTATGGCACGCATTTGAAATATTTCCCATTTCTTCCAGAGATATTCATAAAGAGGTTCTCATGGCGATTCTGAGCTGCTGGCCAGCAGTTGTTATTGCCTGTATCATGACGTATCTCGCTGGTGTTGTGGTCTGGGTTCTAGTAAGTTATTTCTTACTTAGCTAAGTCACTCACAAACATTTTAAAAGATAAATCGAATAAACGAAACTGCTTAAACTAACTTTGTGCTGCATTTTTACAAAGGATATGAATTGGAATCATGTGGACTTCCCAAAATCGTTCATTTCGGGATCGCTTGAGGGAGTATGGTGGTCGTTCGTTACCATGACGACAGTTGGGTAGGTAGCCAAGCGTATGGCCGTAACCGCCTGTTAAAGTTACTAAACTTAAATCACTATATTTAAAAACGTTAGAATAAACGTCGACGACTTGTTCGCGACAAGGTTAGCTTTGTTGTAGAAAGCTGGACTAAAGAGTAGATGGTTGCGGGTCATCCCTGCTATCCGAGAGTCTGGACCAAGAGTCAAACGAAGGTACTGACTTTGCCCTGCAAACGGCTACATTTTTTAGATTGGTATGACTTAGTCAAAATGGTGGTTTCTTCTTCAGCTGATTAGGTATAGAAAACGATGTCTTCAGTTTAGGACTCTTTTTTTGGCAGTTATGGTGATCGTATACCTAAGTCCATTCCCGCGCGCCTATTTGCGTTTCTATGGACGTGGATCGGTATCGCTACAATGGCAGTGATCACAAGCAGCATTACAGCTTCTCTCATGAGTATGGTGTTTCAGCCAGAAAAGATGCTCTATGGCACGAAGGTACACAAAAAGCTTTCTAAGCTTTCATATCTGAATTCAAATTTCGCACTAGCCCCGGGTTGTCTTAACCCAGCTTTGCACAACCCGGCCCGAGACCTAAAAGTGGAAATGGTACGAAAAACAAACAGGAAAATAATAATGATCGAATTTATCTCTTTTATCAAGGCTAAAGAAGAACTAAATACCTATTCTATATGCACAATTTTATGAAAGTAAATCTGGGCGAAAACTGGGCATTCAATGTCGCGGAAAACAGTGTAATTTGTGAGGAGATAAGAAATACGAGCTCCCCTAAAAACGCCTGCGTGGGAGGCTATATCACTCTCGGACGCCATAGATTTTTGCCCATTCAGAGACTTTTGGCCGAAATTGTTTTTAGTTACTGATAGATGTGATTTGAGCTTAAGGCAAGCAATGTGAGCGCGCGCTATTTTAAAAGATTTCCAGCTATATAAAAAATTTACATCATGTCACTTCCGTTCATGTTAGTACAAGCCGCTGGAACTGTTTTCTCATTTACTCTTAATATTTGATTATTTCAGGTAGCTGCTATTGCTAACTCAACTGAATATAAACTAGGACTCAGAAGAAACGCCAAACTAGACACAGGTTAGGAGAAAGGTGAAAGGTGGTAATATAGTTAAAGACACACTGATTAATCTGCAAACATATGCACAATACATCATCAAAATAGCTGCCTTTACAAGTAAAGGGTATGGCCCTATTAAAGAGATCTCCACAAGTAAGTTTTACTTCGTAGTCAAGAGAAGGTTGATAATTTACGAAGAGAACAAATTTAAGTTTTAAATTGCTACCCTGTACGGCGCAAATATTTGCTAAGAATAGGGAAATGCATTAAATACGTTCCATCTGTTTTGAAGAACTTGGGTGTTGTCTTTGAACTAAAGTGACGTCCACATCAACATAGTCGCCCCTATCCAAGAGAGCCTCAATACAAAAATCCGCGAAATTTTTCTCTGAAAAACGGTGGATTTACAAGCATCTCTCCAGTCAGAAAGAATTAAGTTTCTCAACTGCTTATAAATTGGGTCAGTTCTTACTCAAAACAGACAGTTATGTTATTTAGGGATTAAAGAAACGTTATCTAAAAAAACGTTAAACGTCACGTTTTAAAAAAGTTAAACCAGGTACGTGGATGGTGCTGACAACACTAAACTTGATAAGCGTAACAGTGACAAAAATATCGCAGTTTATATTCTGTAAACGTCTTTTATTTTACTTTCAACAATTTGATACTATTTCTAAACATTTTTTCTGCACATAACGGCCAATGCCTTCTAAGTGCTTGTCCTTACCATATCTGTTTCCTCAGGGACTTGCAGATGTCGGTCTATGATACCAACTAACTGGTGGAATAATCCCCCGTATGTTACGACCCAAATCTCCAGCAACAGTAGCCGTGAAGGTGGCATCCTACCAGTTATACTAGAGAGTATTGTCACTTCCTGCTGTCAAGAGTGCGAGTTTGGCACGACAACGGTGGACTTCAAATTGGACGCAAATGGGTTAGATGCCCAAAAAGATGGCGTAATTCAGGTTAAAGACGCTATAAGTAGCAAGACTATGATCTCTTTTGGTATTACTGGTGTGATGCCCCAGGAAAAGTACTATGGCGCTGACGGAGAAGCAGAGTATGTTCCCATCATGGAGACACCTGGTGTCGCCTTCATTGTGGCGGAGAGAAGGTTAGATTAGCGCAGCTGATCTCTCTTAAACTACCGTAGATGGAGCGTATTATTAAGCAATAGACCACACTTTCTATGGGTTTACCGGCATGATAACCCACGCGGGATGTTTAGAGAACACGAGAAAAGAAGCTTTTCGAGTATTCTCCCAACATCCCAAGTGGGTTATCACGCCGGTAAACCCAGAAAGTGTGGTCTATTGCTTTTATAAAATATCTTTCAGTTTTCTAAGAGTTTATAACCAATCAGAACGCGCGTATCATCTTAGTTATTTTATAATAAACAATATCCTTTAATTAAAATATCTCGAGTGGAAAGCAAAAGCCAAAATCTATTGGAAACCAAAAGATCATATCACATTAAGGAATCTTGTTCCAAGTGACGTCGTCTCTCCTGTTGCCTGGTAGCGTCCCTTGTTACTTTTTGTTTTTTTTGGCTACACACGAGTAAAAAGGTATCAAGAAAAAAAAATCCATGCTGCTATACTTACCATGTCAGTCCCTCGCTTAACCAGGTACTTTGATTTAGGCGTAAATAACGGGATTCATAATTTTGTGAAGATCAAGGTGATATCCTTCCCACTCCCCCTAGTCAAAGTTGCAAGCTTTGTAAGGCCTTGGTCAAAACTGCCTTTAGGATGGAGGGTAGTCAGAGATTTAGAGTTACCAATGAATTACTAGCAGCGATTTTAAGTAAGAGAGGGTGCGGTGGTTTTCCGTTCGAGTGTCTCAATATTATTGTAGCATATAACCTTGCTAATTATGGCACGCATTTGAAATATTTCCCATTTCTTCCAGAGATATTCATAAAGAGGTTCTCATGGCGATTCTGAGCTGCTGGCCAGCAGTTGTTATTGCCTGTATCATGACGTATCTCGCTGGTGTTGTGGTCTGGGTTCTAGTAAGTTATTTCTTACTTAGCTAAGTCACTCACAAACATTTTAAAAGATAAATCGAATAAACGAAACTGCTTAAACTAACTTTGTGCTGCATTTTTACAAAGGATATGAATTGGAATCATGTGGACTTCCCAAAATCGTTCATTTCGGGATCGCTTGAGGGAGTATGGTGGTCGTTCGTTACCATGACGACAGTTGGGTAGGTAGCCAAGCGTATGGCCGTAACCGCCTGTTAAAGTTACTAAACTTAAATCACTATATTTAAAAACGTTAGAATAAACGTCGACGACTTGTTCGCGACAAGGTTAGCTTTGTTGTAGAAAGCTGGACTAAAGAGTAGATGGTTGCGGGTCATCCCTGCTATCCGAGAGTCTGGACCAAGAGTCAAACGAAGGTACTGACTTTGCCCTGCAAACGGCTACATTTTTTAGATTGGTATGACTTAGTCAAAATGGTGGTTTCTTCTTCAGCTGATTAGGTATAGAAAACGATGTCTTCAGTTTAGGACTCTTTTTTTGGCAGTTATGGTGATCGTATACCTAAGTCCATTCCCGCGCGCCTATTTGCGTTTCTATGGACGTGGATCGGTATCGCTACAATGGCAGTGATCACAAGCAGCATTACAGCTTCTCTCATGAGTATGGTGTTTCAGCCAGAAAAGATGCTCTATGGCACGAAGGTACACAAAAAGCTTTCTAAGCTTTCATATCTGAATTCAAATTTCGCACTAGCCCCGGGTTGTCTTAACCCAGCTTTGCACAACCCGGCCCGAGACCTAAAAGTGGAAATGGTACGAAAAACAAACAGGAAAATAATAATGATCGAATTTATCTCTTTTATCAAGGCTAAAGAAGAACTAAATACCTATTCTATATGCACAATTTTATGAAAGTAAATCTGGGCGAAAACTGGGCATTCAATGTCGCGGAAAACAGTGTAATTTGTGAGGAGATAAGAAATACGAGCTCCCCTAAAAACGCCTGCGTGGGAGGCTATATCACTCTCGGACGCCATAGATTTTTGCCCATTCAGAGACTTTTGGCCGAAATTGTTTTTAGTTACTGATAGATGTGATTTGAGCTTAAGGCAAGCAATGTGAGCGCGCGCTATTTTAAAAGATTTCCAGCTATATAAAAAATTTACATCATGTCACTTCCGTTCATGTTAGTACAAGCCGCTGGAACTGTTTTCTCATTTACTCTTAATATTTGATTATTTCAGGTAGCTGCTATTGCTAACTCAACTGAATATAAACTAGGACTCAGAAGAAACGCCAAACTAGACACAGGTTAGGAGAAAGGTGAAAGGTGGTAATATTTGTTACCAAGAGATGAACTTGATGAGGCTAGTTTATCAGTAGCCTCTAGTCATTGTTGTCAATTTTAGGTTCTTTAGGTCTCTTGTCACTTTTAGTTGTTATTATTTCCTGTAAACTTGACCCGCCCAGATTAGCATAAGTACCCGCATGCATGTTACAATTGTACTCCTACCTTAAAACAAAAATAAATTTATGATCACGATGATGATGATGATGATGAACCCTTAAAACTGATTAGAATTCATCAAAAAAAAATGGTGGAAAATTTATTTCTTTACAGCAATATTCACGTCTCATCAAAAGATAAGGATAGTTTAATCAGGTGAAAATAGGAGATAAATCAGCTTACTTGACATACTACCAGTATTACGTTAAGTGGAAATTAGATGTTTTTGCAGCAGTCATAAACCTGTCCCTAAGGATATCTAATCTTAATGAATGGAAAATTGATTGATTTTCAGGTCGCTCGTACGGGAACTTGTACCAAATTTATGAAGACCTCGAAAATGATCGTGTACACACAGCGCTGTTAGACTCGTACTCGACGGCGAGCGAAAGCAAGTGGTTCAGTGAAGACTGGCTCCGAGTGATTCAGATCATTCCTGTGAGATACGAATCTGCTAATGGACTTGTACTTACTGGTGACGTCATGAAGTTAGCACAGTGTTTTCGAAGTTATGTGCGCTCAGAGACAAGTTATATACACAGAATTATACAGAGTCATGTGGGATCTATTGAGGTTAGAAATTCAGTTCGAATTCTATTCTATTCTAGTCATGTCAGAAACACAAATACCTTTGGCTATGTTTAACAGGTATGTTTGACTGGCATAGGTGTAGCCAGGATTTTCCAGAGGTAGGCCTCGTTGGAAACCGACATTCGGGTGTAGAAAAAAAAAACAGTGCTGTTGTTGTTGTTGTTGTTTTTTAATGCTTCAAACTCGCAAGAAGAGTTAAATGAATAATTAAGTCAAACTGTGCTTTATGAAATGATTATATTATATTTATTCACTTAATTGTCAACATCTTTTCTATTTGTTCCATCTTAACCAGTTTTACCTTCGACCTTTTTAGATACGCATGTGCATAACGTGCGTACAGGTAGCTATGCCCCTGACAGGTAGTGTTGAAAACATTACAGGTTATTTTACCGTAGCTGTTATCCTTGAGTTTTTCATAGTTTACTATCATTAAGTACGCTTTCTCTTTAGTAAACGTGATTTAACACATCAGCTCGGTCGGTAGACAGTAAATAAGCGACAGTCTGTTTCATCACCCAATTTCCCGTCATTTTTTCCCATTCTCTTATAACAATAACTTTTGTAAGTTCCCTGAAAGTTTTTTTTATTATTATTTATTTATTTATTTCGAACAATTACAATACACTACATTTGCAATTCATTACAATAAAATTCTAATTATTGGTTACTAAATTAATTTTACCTTACATTGAAACAAGTAACTGTTATCGTTTACAGAAGGGAAAAAAGTGAAAGAAAAAGAAAAAGAAAGACAAACTCCTCAAAAATACTACAGTTTATATATTAACAATTAAGGGAAGGAAGTTTCTTGAAAGTTAACTATAACAAAAAAAAACGTTTCGGATTAATTTTAGCTGAGGATTCAGATTCTCTCAAGTGGCTTGTAAAACGCTGTCATGCCTAGTAACACGCTGTGATGTCTTTGTCTTTAGGCTGAAGATGTTCCTTTTGCAGTGAAAACGTCGTCAGATCTTCTAACGGAAGAATCCTATTTGTACAAACAAACAGTGATTATTCTAGCTGGAGCTTTAGGTACCTTTACACTTCTGGGGCCTCTCTTTCATTATTGCTTTTATAAAAAAGCACCATCAAGACATACATCAGAATCAGGTACTAAGATTTTATGCAAATAATATACACTAAAATGAGAACAAGCTTTTAGTAATACATGAATACAAAGATGAAAATAATGGCGTTGATGATAACGGTGGTAGTGGTGGTGGAGGTCTCAGTTATGATAGTGTGATGATGATGATGATGACAACGTTAAAGATAATGGCCTTAATTATTATGGTACAGATGATGATGATGACGATGATTGTTTTTGTGTTAACGATGATGATAATAGTATATGTGAGGGTACTGTGAACTAAGACTTGAAAAACCACTGCAAAAACCGTGAACGATCAATGTAGTTCACATTTGGATCAAACAAGATCGTGATCAGTCCAAAAAGATAAAAATAGAATTAAGGTGAAAAGGACTACTGCAAAGACTGAGCAAACAACGAGGAAAAGGCTGAGGTATACAATAATTCGACTGGCCAATACCAGTCTTCATCAGGTTTATTAGGAAAAACCACGAATACATAAATATACTACTGTAAGTTAATAACGGAAGTTACATGGTATGACGTGGTAAGGTGTGGCTGCTAAGAAAAATAAACCGAAAAAAATATAAAGATTACATAATAATTATAGCTCGTCACATTTGTTCATTCTCAGAGGCTCGATGGTTTTGGCTTTATGAATGAGGTGCGCCTCACGTGCTTTCCTAAGACAATCGCGTTGATATCCAAGTGTTTCAATTGGGATAAGTAACATATGGGAAACATAGTGGCTATTGCTGAGAAAGTGTTCTGAACTGCGGTTTGGATGTAACTACCGGAGGAGTTAAGTTTAGGGCGTCTATGTTCATTAAAACGGTATTTGAGGAGGGGTTTGCTTTCACCAATATATATATTAGAGGCGGCATTGAATCATGTAGATAGCATTAAAAGTATTACAGGTAATGTGAAATTTGATTTGTCATATGTAGTGATAAGGGGTGGTGGTGTTGACAACGTTCAAGAAAATGATAATAACGTTGGCTATGTTAATAGCGGTGGCGATGGTTGTGATTTTGGCCATAATAATGGTAGTGGTGAGAAAGAATGATACTTATTATACTGATGACGATGATAGCGGTGGTGATGATGATGATGATAGCCAGGTAAGCGATGGTGGTGACCGGGTAATGGTAAAACTGATGCTGATGGTGCTTATGATACTGATGATGGTGAGCAGGACGAGGATCATGAGGATGATGATGATGATGAGTCTAACCCTTTTGTTCTGAATTCTTATCTCAGCAGAGGACATCGTGGTTGTAACGACAAACGGTTCCCAAGTAAAACGAACGGAGACAATATCACAATTAAAGGAGGATATTTCCAAATTTTATGAATGTTATAAGAAAAAGTATTTGGCTCTACGCCACAAACATATAAAGGAACATAGAGAGCTTAGAAGATTTAATGATGACAAATATGGAACAGGCAAGCGGCAATTGTTTTTTTTTTGTACTATTATTTTGACGTCGTTCGATTATTCATCGAGACAAAAGATGGTGTATTTATCAGTAGAAAATCTTAACGGTATGTATATAACTAGGATTAGTTTAGTTCTGTTTAATTATATACAGGTTGATTTAATCAAAGGGCAAAAAAAAAATTAGTGGTGTGGAATTGTGCTTGACATCAGGAAACGTTCTGAATTCAATGTTAACTGCATTTATAAAATTTTTGAAAAAGCAATTCTACGCCAGCGTATTTCCTAAGAAACGAGAGTTAATTCACGACATCTCTTTAAACTGATTACTGGGTTAAAATGTACAAAGGAAGACTACCTATTTAGCCAAAAGGTTTGAACCGAGTTTGAGGTTTATAAATTTCAAATTGAATATATCATTTATATTTATTATACACCTTCGTTTCACCAGGAACCAGTGTAATCAAGAGCCTACCGGAATTTACTTCAAGTAAGTTGACTCTGCAACTGGCATGAGCTTCTACGTTCCACTTTTTCGCACCTTACCGTTAGTTAAATAACTTGTCCTTAGTTACTTAACTGTAGAACCAATATTGAACAAAAACATGTTATCGCAAAATTTTTAAGACTCTGTTAGCGCTGATATTGCCCATTTTAATTCTCCAGCTTCTCTTTAAAACAAAACTCTGCAAAATAAATAACTTCTAACTGCTAGCTTTTTCATGTAGGTCGCAGGGGGCAGTACCAGGTGACTAAAGAAGCTGATGTCAACTCAATATTTGAAGGAATGGACCTCAGCATGTTCGACAAAAGAAACAGCAAAAGATGGCGCTTCTAGAAAGCCACTGGGCCTAAAACTGAGTGTTGTCAACAACGCGGCCGAATCAAAACAAGAAACGAAGACATTTTCTTAGATATTTTAGACAAAATTAAAACACTTTCCTAGCTTTAAAAACGCAAAAAGTGAAAATGACTTAAAGAACTTTTGCATGTTACCCGTCACCGTGACGAATAAACGAGATGCAAAATTAACTTTCTGTTTACGATCCTAAACTTCAAAATCAAAGTCAAAGATAAGCAGCGTCAATCTGATGATCAGTAACTCATTGATGAGGGTTTGTCGTTAGAATTGAGTGTCACCAAAATGACGAATTGACGTTTGTACTATGAGGACAAGTTTAATCAGGGACTGAATGGGTTTGACAGAGCCGACATCTTTTACATCAAGGCCGGATTGAAGTAGCATCAGCATCTTCAATGCTTCTACATCTTTTTTTAATAAATCTTAAGCGAGTGTAATACAAACTTTGTGGTACTAGTATAAGAATGGCCATAACTGGTGTTTATAAAGTGCGCCTTACTGGTATTACAAACACCAGCTCTCTCAGTCAGTTTTCATCCTAGCCGATATATGGTCTACGCAGCGAAAAATATCCTTGCATGATTACCCAGAGCCGGCCGGGTTCTTGTTTAGCTACAGAAATTAAAACAAGAGGCAAAGACATGCAAGATTATACCTTCAAACATGAATGTTAGTAAGATATCTTAAAAGAGCTATGTCACGAGGATGATATTACTGTATAGGTCAATTCTGTACTTTGAAGTCATTATTTAGAGCTAGAAAATTTCCCGGGGGTCTTCCGTGTGAAAAGTACGGGGATGCTGTTAGGAAAAAAAGAGTTACACAGGCATGCGACAGGTTAAATGTAACACAAAATGACCAAAAATGTTATAACGTAGGGGCGGATCCACGGGAAGGGCCCGGGGGTCCGCCCTCCCCTCTTATTTTTTTAGACCAAAATGAGGCCCGAAGGGCGGAAAAAATTCAGTATTTTTGAGACCGGGCTCCCCCCCCCTTATCTCTATCGACCTGTCAGTAACTTGCAATTTATCTCCAAACTGACTGAGAGTGCGGTAGCCAAACAACTTCAGCACCACATCAACATGAATAATTTATTTCCCTCGCTACAATCATCATATCGTAAGTTTCACAGCACGGAATCCGCTCTCTTGAAAGTAAAAAATGACATTTTATTAAACATGAGCAGACAGCATGTCACCTTGTTTGTTCTGTTGGATTTGAGCGCGGCTTTTGATACCATTGATCACGGTATCTTACTTGAGAGGCTTAGGTCTGCATTTGGAGTTCGGGATATGGCACTGTCCTGGTTTGCATCATATTTAAGTGGAAGAACTCAGCAAGTTTCAATCGACGGCACACTCTCAACGAAGTTTGATTTGGAATGTGGCGTACCTCAAGGTTCGTGTCTCGGGCCTTTGTTGTTCGTTGTCTATGCTAGCAAGATATTTGAAATTGTTGGCAAACATAATTTAGAGATCAACTGCTATGCGGACGATAGCCAACTCTATTTATCCTTCTGTCCTAATGATAATAGGGAGTTTAAGATACGGTCACTACGGACTACGGACTACGTCTGGGCGTGAGAGTCCAAGCCACGCGTGGACTGGGCCGACTACGCTAAAAGGGCGCGAAAATTGGAGATGTTTTTTGACGTTAAGATCGTGACAACGACTACGGACTACGGCTGCACTTGGAAAAAAAAATGTCTTTTGAAGATGCTAGAAACGCCCTTTTAATCGCTTATGCGGATGGTTTTCTGGATGATGAAGAGTTTATTGTTCTTTACGATTATTACCAACCCGTTAATCCATCATTTCCGTACTGGAATTTTGATCCATTCTGTTTGGATGTGTTCGACTCTTGCGAGTGCGAAGCTCACTTCAGGGTGGCCAAGGATGATATTCCGATGTTATTGAACGCATTGCGGATTCCGGCGAGTTTCAAGTGCCCACAGGGAACAGTTTGCAGTGGCTTAGAAGGACTTTGTTTACTGCTAAAACGATTAGCATACCCATGCCGCTATTTCGACTTAATTTCAACTTTTGGACGTCCGGTGCCAGAGCTGTGCATGATCGCTAACACTGTACTTGATTGGGTTTTTAATGAACATGGGTTTCGTTTAACCTCTTGGAATCAGCCATTTCTTACCCCTGTTTGCCTTCAAGAATACGCCTGTGCTATAGCAAGACAAGGAAGTCCACTTACCAATTGTTTTGGTTTCATTGACGGCACGGTTCGCCCCATATGTCGCCCTGGAGAAAAACAGCGCGTCGTATACAACGGGCACAAGCGTGTTCATGCGCTAAAATTTCAATCCGTAGTAGTGCCAAATGGTTTGATAGCAAATCTTTATGGTCCGGTGGAGGGTGCACGCCACGATGCAGGGATGCTTAAAGACTCTGGCCTGCTGGAAACACTTGAAAGAGAAGCTTTCAGTCCAAGGGGGGACGTCCTATGTCTCTATGGAGACCCAGCTTACCCTCTTCGTCCTCATTTAATGGCCCCTTACCAAATAGGGGAGGTCCCAGTATTTACAGCCGATATGGAAGCATTTAATTCAGCAATGAGTTCTGCTAGAGCTTCGGTGGAATGGCTATTTGGCGATATCTCCAACTCGTTCAAGTTCTTAGATTTCAAGAAAAACTTAAAGTTAGGATTAAGCGCAGTTGGAAGGCAGTATATAGTGTCCGCACTGTTTAGAAATATTCTCACCTGCCTTTATGGTAACACAACATCAACACATTTTCAACTTGATCCACCAACTGTTCAAGACTATTTGGCCTAATGGCATCACAGTATAATTATCAAGTAGAGATGTCTGAGCCCGATGCCAAGTTACAAAATATATTAGGTTGTTCTAGCAGCTAATCCAGGATTTCAGGTTTTATTTCTTCATGAAATATTACTGCTAGTGTCTGGTGAGTCTTCACTCCGTGAAAATGAAATTTAAAAAGAGAAAGCAGCAAGGCTTAAAAAAAGAATAAAACAAATGTTCACTTAAATCCAGGACAAAGCGGCCTTTTCGTATAACCCATGAAGTTCTTGTGAAGTACTAATCAGATTTTAAAACATTGGTCAGAGTTGTCTTTGTTTGCCGGGTGTTGGGTCAAAGAGAGGGTCTGAACCAGGAAGGGAGGGCACAGAAAACTCTGATTGACCCTAAGTTTACGTTTTTGTAATGGAATGAAGTTGTTAAACCTTGGAGTTAAGTATGCAGTTGCCATGGTAATCATCTACGGTATGTGCAACAACTTTACTATCAACTAATACAGTGACTATTCACTGTTAACTTAATTCCTGTATGAAAAAGATAATGAATCAAAACCGTCAAAGAAATAAAAATTTCATGACCATTTTGGTAAAAAATATCAAATTCCTGTATTATGGAAAACGTGAACAATAAACAAGTTATCCTTTTTCTTGTTTCTACTTACAATAATTCACCAAACAAAGTTCACCACGCATGCTTATGTATTTTTGGGGAATTTTCTGATAACTAATAGAAAAATGCAACAGTTTGTTAAAGGTTCTGTGAAACAAACAACAACGTATTAGAGTCTCCAAAAAATGCAAAATGCCCCTTTAAATTGAATGTATGGGATGGCAAAACAGCCAAGCTCTCAAACAACAAAACTCTTAAAT